AATGCTTATTATTAGTAGGTAAGCTTAGTCATTTCCTTTTAAACGAAATATATAATTTAACACTAAACTTCTATTTTAAATGTTTTTAATTGTTCCGTATTCACGAATTTAAAAGGTAGGAATGCGCTTCTTTGCTTGCATTAATATAATGAATAACCTCTCTCCAGGCCATATTCTTTTGAAAAATATTTTGCAGTTTTTATATTGAAGCAAGACATCTGTTCCCTTGGAATATATTTTGCAATTTACCCTCCCAGTCCCTAACCCAGCAAAGCAACTTTTCATTGCTTTAAGAATTAATGACTGCCAATTAACTTTTTGGGACTTCTATTGATAATTTAATTTTATTATGTATTATTTCTTGATGATTTTACCATTGACGATACACACAGTTTATTTCAATTGACCACAAAAATTTTATATAAACTAAGGTACAAATATTCACCTTTTGGAGTACATAATCCTTACGCTATAAAACGCGTACCCGAACATTTTGGTAGGTGCGGTTGTACATGTAGAGCACTGCTCGGATACCTAGCTATTAATTTTTACTCAAATTTTGCTAGATTTATTTGATAACTATTCCTATTTGCCGATATCATAATTAGTTATAGAGATTTCTGTGTATAGTCAGGGTTTAGTGGATTAGCAAATCCGCTACAAATTAGTGACCCTAACGAAACCGCATAAATCTGAATTTTTATCAGCCGAGACGCAATCGCTTCCTGTCTCTTCGAGTTCTCTACAGACCTCACAACTCACTTAATGATCACCATTTACTCGGCTCCACTTTCCTACGCTTTCGCTGTGAACGGTTTAAGTGTCCTTCCTTGTCACTCCATCTTCAACTCAGAATGTATTAACACCTGATTCTTGAAATTCAAAAATATGTTTGGATTAAGAGGTGCTACAAAGCGAGGAACCTGGTCTCAATATGCTGTCGCTGCACTTCCGAACACATCGTATCTCAAATTCTAGACAACACATCCAAGCCTCCGGACAAAAACTTCAGCGACCGGCTCAAGAAAAAAGTTTTCAGTTTTTTCTATTTTACGAGAGTAACGGCACATTATCTCTTCGCACAAATCGAACTCGGAGATCGAGTGATCAATTACGATCCGAATATAAGAAGTATTTTCTCTCGATTGATATATGCGTAGTCCATTGAACAGTATTAGCTGGATTGTGTTTTCATGTACAAATAGGTTATTGAAAAAATTGTGATCCTATACGAATCCATTGTTTTTGTAGTGTAGATTATCTTTTCAATTAGCATTTACAATGGAATTTTTAAATCAAAAGAAAGGTGGTAAAAACTACCCTAACTCCTCCTAGAATTTAAATTTCATTAATTGGCAATAAATTAAGTTCTTATTTCTGAACCTTTTAGTCCTATAATGCAGATGGTTGGAAATAGAAATTAATCAAAGTCAATTTTTAATCGAGCACAATATAGTTCAATAGTTAATAAGAGCTGATAATTCTCAACAATGTAATATCAAGTCAGCCCTTTGGGTAACAATATTTATACATTTTATATATTTGTTAGTGGGTGTGCGATAGACTTACCTGCACGTGGTGCACCCTGGGCAAGGTATACTCATACGACAAAAAAGTCTATAACCGACAGTTGACTTCTGATTTCAAACTACCATCACCCCACTGAATGTCATATTCGTCTATTTTCACAGTACTCACCTCACCTTTTTTCTACCTTTGTGTCTGTCTCTTTTACATCTTTGAAACACTCTTCTGTGTCCCCACTCGACATTTTCATTTTGATGAGCCTTCCGCATTGTGAAGCCTGAAGTCAAGTAAAGGGCTAATGTTAACTATAAAAACGCCTGTCATTTGATAGAAATAAATAAAAAAACCTCCTTGGTTCACTATATCCTGCTAAACTGCAACTTTCAGTCAATTAATGCAAATTCCACAAGTTGCCTTTGTTCGCCCTCCTAGATCTCATAAGAATGAAAATAAACGCAGCATTTTTTTAATTTTTCCATGTTAATCCCATTTTAGTATTGAGGGAAATTAAACAAGATTCCTGAATATTCCATTTTGACATTTGACCATAATTGTAAGCAAAAACAATAGGAAAATGGTAATTTGTATTTTAAGTTCAATTCGATTTAATTTTTTATTTCAATTCATTTCCGTATTATACATCTCCTTTAAATAGAAGCTGACATCATTCGCTTTTAAACAAATTCTTTGAAAATGAAAAATTGTAGTTCTGAAAATTTAAATAGTTATAAAAGGGATTTTATCAATTTTTTTGTCCACTTGACCTAGATTTTAAAGAAATTGAATAAAGTGCATGCAATAATTAATAAAACAAATTGACAACGCATCCTATCGATTGCACTTTGTGGTACCAGTTCATTGATGTCAGTGTTTTTGTTTTGATTATCTGAGTGCACTCCTTTAAAAGTGGTATAAATAAGCAAATTTCTAATGTCCTCCTCTCAACTCAATGATCATGATGAAATCAACAAGTTTGATTTTATTAGCTCTTTTGAGCTGCATCACGATTCATCCAGCATCTAGCATGGTAGCTCTTCACCAGCCTCCCACTATGCTCCGTAGCAGTTTCAACGCTCCACATTCTCCTTACGGTGTTCCACAACATCGTCCCGGAATACCACATGTTCACGTAGGCCTCAATGGGGGTGTAATGGCTCCTCAAATGTACCAATATTATCCCTCGCGTCCTATGCCCGGAATGCCAATGCCTCCTCCACGTCAACCATTCAGCTCTCCAAATCCTCCCATGCACATGCCCTATCCCATGCCACCGCCAAACTTTAGAGGAAACCACGGTGGTTCAGGGTATGGTGGTTGCAGTGGAAGTAACTGCGGTCATTGGGGTGGTTGTCACAGTGGTCATTGCGGTATCTTCTACGACTTCCGTCCATGCCACTCAACAGAATGCTATGATGGACCTGTTCATGGTTTTGACTGCTTTGATGGCTATTGCCAACGTGTCTGCAATGGTAGCATTTGCAGAGACTTCATTCAACGCGGATGCAGTGGAAAGAGCTGCCGTGACGATGAAGAGGAAGCAGGATCAGATGAAAAGCGATCTGAAGATAAAAGCTAAATTCTTTTTTGACCTCTTACCGCTTAGTACTTACTCTATAATTTTCAGTTAAAATAAATAATTAAAAGCATGCTTAGCATTTGTTATTTTTGGAATAAGTAAAACTATTTTCTTGGAAAATTTGATTAAAATGCTAGATGGATATGATGCCAAATAGTTAAATATTAGCTCTTGATAATTGAAAATATTATAATATAATATTAATAATTATTCCATTAGACGAGTGTGAAGGTACGATATTTTTCTCTGATTTTTTTTTATAGAAGTTTGCAAACATGTTTTTTAAGCTTATCCATAAATCCATTTATTGCTAGCCTTCATACACTTAGTTGCTCGACAATCTTCCATTTTACTGTAGCTTTATGAGGAGTGCGAGATGTTCAAATTGGTGAATTGTTCGTCAAACGCTTTCTATCAGACTCACTAGCACTACTCTATAATGAGGCAGTTTTGTGTTACTGCATATGAAAATATCTACATATTTCAATTCCCCATTTTAATCCTCGGCTATATATACCCTTCACACGTTCATTATTTTTGTCAAAAATTTACTAACAAACATGTTATTTAACTTTCAAATAAGATGCAAATTTTATTATTTATATCAATTGTCAGGCGTTTTGATTGTTATAATTAGCTCTTTACTTGACTTCAGGCTTCACAGAGGGGAAGGAACATCAAAGTGAAAAAAGTCGAGAGGGGGAGGGACAGAAGAGTGTTTCAAAGATGTA